TGTCCACCTGCTCAGCACCCAACGTCTGCAAACAGGTGACTACCTCTTCGGTGATGCCGGTTACATTCTCCGCCGCACAACCCACTTTACTGATGCCCTTCAGCAGTTTAGGCAGCATTTGCTCTGGCGTGATGACACTCTTCACCAGCGCCGCCCCAGACATCATGACTGCATTAGAGAAAAGGCCCCTCGTCACTGGAGAGAGAATGTGCAAACTGACTGACCAGGAGCCGGCTGACTCGCCCATGATGGTCACCTTATTTGGATCGCCGCCAAAGTAGCGAATATTTTCTGAAACCCATTTTAAAGCTAGGGCCTGGTCGAACAAGCCCGCATTGCCCTTAATGCCCTCCACTTGGTCGGAGTAAAAAAAGCCCATTGTTGAAACTCTGTGTGTTGGAAGAAAAAGAATTATGAAATTTCTCTCGTTTGAACAACAAACTCCTCTTCCTGAGTTTACCGGTAGTTGATGGTGACTACCACCGAGTTAGACATCACAGCCAGCGCCTCGCCATTGTACAAGTCAAAGGAGGCGCTGCCAAAGTGAAAACTGCCGCCTGGAATCCAGAAGAGAACCGGTCGGAGACTGTGCTCATCGGCGTTGACGCCTGGCGTCCAGAGGTTCAGCTTCAAGCAGTCCTCTGACATGTTTTGGTTGATGTACCGCTTGAGAGCGGCCTTCTTTTGAATGCAACTGGCCGGCCAGTGTAACGCCCTCACTGGCTCGGTCCACTTTGTCAGAGGTTCAGGACGGCGGAAGCGAAGTCGACCTAGAGGCGGTTTTGCATAGGGAACGCCTAGAAAGCGCACTACAGAGCGGTTCTCCAGATCTCGAATGTGCACCTTCTCGCCGATTAGGCGGCCATTCTGGACAAAGATTTCTACAGTGTTTGGGCTGGGTGGGGTGGAAGTAGGAGTGGGCGTTGGTGCTGGAGTGGGCTCATCTTTGAGGACATGAGTGTTGGTGGTGGTGGTGAAAGTAGTCAGCGTCAGAATGGCCACTGAGAGCACGAGAATGCAGCCGTTGTGCAGGGACATCCTCTGTCACCGAATACAGTCGTTGCAATTTCTGCTGCAGTAGAAAGAAGAAGTTGAAGGTGCTGAAGGGAAGTAAATGTGCAGGAGCATTGAACGGATGATTGAGAAGCGGGAGTATTGTGCCAAGAAAGGACGACGACCACAGCGACCACGACGTAGACAAGAACTGCTCTGCTCTGGATGGCTTTGGCCTCATCTAACCACCACCACCACCTCGGCTTTAGTTTTACTTTGGTGCGAGTGCGTGTGTTTGTTGTCCAGTCAACATCATCCAGTGATATTGCCAGTGCTACCAATCTAATCGGCCATTGCTGTACTGAACTTTTTCTGCTTTGCTGTCTCTCTCAATGATGTCTTACACATCAGCAATGGACGTATATCTTGTTTGTCCAATGTTCTTGGCCGTCCCCTCCCTCCTTCCTCTTATCATCTGTCAACTACTGACTGCCTAGTGTAGTAGTGTACTACTCTGACAGAAGAGACAGATAAAAGAAGACTGATACACACTGTCGCAAGATTGGACTTTCCCGACTTTCAAAGCCTGTTCCGCTGGGTTGTCACATTTTTGCATTCGCAAACTTTTGCGTGACACAACAGTTGTCTCCGTTTTTGCCTCTCTTTTTTTGTTCTCTCTTGAGATTTCTGGTTTGTACGCATCGTTTTCATGTGTTTTATTATTATTTGAACAGTGCTCGTCAACGTGCTTCATTTCAACATACACACACACTCGTGCGTGACACAATTCAAGTGAGAAAGTGAACTAAAGATTGGAGGGAAAAACAAAACAAGAAAATGTGGAGTGAGATAATAAGAAATTGATCTTCATCATCATATTTTTTTCGGTGGCAACATCAGTGTGAATGTCAATGTGTAGCGTGTGCATCAATGTAAGAAGGGGACGTGGTATCTTGGGTGCGAATGCGATTCACAGTGGCCTAATAAACGAGGTAAAGCGGGCTAATAAAGTGACAGCCCCAGATTTGCTAGATTTCGTAAGTGTGTGAGTGTGTGTATTATATCACTAAGTTTGAGGGTGTGTAAAAGGGTAAAATTAAACAGTGTAATCAAAGATCAAATTGACGTTTCAAAAGAAACAGTTACTGCAAGTTTGCCTCATTGTTGGTGTTCCACTCAACATTTCCTCGTTGCTGTTGCAGTCTTTGCTGCTGTTGCTGAAAGCGTCGACGCTCTAAATCTCTATAAAAGGCTTGCATCATCCGAAACGCCGGTGGTCGGCCACCATTGTTCAGCTGTGGTTGCTTCTGTTGTTGTTGTTGTTTCTGCTGCTGCTGTTTTTTCTGCTGCCTTTCGTTGCTCATCTGAGATGGAAAAGGTGTCAGAGGTGCCGATCGTAGCGCCGGTCGCGGTTGCAGCTGCTGCTGCTCAGGTGGCGACGGCAGTCCACTGGCCACCTGAATGGCCTTAAACTGCTGAGCAGCAGCAACACCTTTACCGGGAAGTGGCGTCGTACTGCCTGAGGAGAGCAACTCAATGGGCACACCGCCGTCCTGGACACTTTCGAGATCACCGCCGAGCAGATCACCACCGTACTCGGCAAAGAGGTCACCAGCATTGCCATTGCCATTGCCATTGTTGTTCAGCTGTGTAGCCGCCGTCTCCATCTCCAATTTGGTAGGCGCAGGAAGGCGCTTTCGAAAACGAATGCCGTCCTTTGTTTTGATGCAGTTGTCGACAAACTTGCGCACTTCGTTTACTAAAAATTGAGCATTGCCTGTTGGTTAGTGTGTGTGTGTGGTCGGGTTGTTTTTAAAGCAGGGATTAGAGCAGGAGGTTTGTGATGAGGATGNGTTTGGTGGGCGCGGGAAGGCGCTTTCGAAAGCGAATGCCGTCCTTTGTTTTGATGCAGTTGTCGACAAACTTGCGCACTTCGTTTACTAAAAATTGAGCATTGCCTGTTGGTTAGTGTGTGTGTGTGGTCGGGTTGTTTTTAAAGCAGGGATTAGAGCAGGAGGTTTGTGATGAGGATGAGGAGAGAAAGTAGGAGAAGAGGAGCAAGAAGAGGAGTTCGAGGTGAAGGTGAAGGAGTTAGAGGAGAGAGAGCGAGAGAGGAAAGTAGGCATGTAGCAAGTAGGTAGAGGAGAAGTGGAGTNCGTTTACTAAAAATTGAGCATTGCCTGTTGGTTAGTGTGTGTGTGTGGTCGGGTTGTTTTTAAAGCAGGGATTAGAGCAGGAGGTTTGTGATGAGGATGAGGAGAGAAAGTAGGAGAAGAGGAGCAAGAAGAGGAGTTCGAGGTGAAGGTGAAGGAGTTAGAGGAGAGAGAGAGCGAGAGAGGAAAGTAGGCATGTAGCAAGTAGGTAGAGGAGAAGTGGTGTTAAAGATGGCATTTGTTTGAAGGGAAAGAAGGACAAGGTTTAGGTATGGCTTAGGAAAGGAAGTACTTTTTATGGTTTTTAGAAAAAGCAACACGATTAATGGCAGGCAACAAAAAGGCACTTCAAGAAAGAATTGCAGAGTACAAGGCACACACATTCAAGTGGACTACTACATTCAATTCCTTACCATTTCGAAGGCTAGGCGTCGACTTGCAGTCATGTACCAGTTGCCCTTTGGCGAGCATCTCAGAGTGCAGGCAGAGGACGAGGAGGATGCTGCTGAAGAAGAGCGTCACCCGGAGCAGGGCGATGCCATGACTTCGGGGCATTTTTGCACTCTGCAAACTCATCATCTTCAGTGCGGCCGTTTTGTTCCTCACCAGGGCCATTGCTGAGACAGGGTTCGACAGTAGGGCCGTCGGTCGAAGTCGAGTGGAAGTTTGAATGAAGCTGCTGTTTCTTTCTTGCTGGACTGCTCTTGCTGAACTTCTGGATGACAAGTTGACAACTGCTCCAAGCTGATCTGACTGTGCCTGGTCGCGACCGAAGACGCAATGACGGTTTCTTCCACTGCTGGACAGTTCCTGACGGCGGCACATCATTCTGGGCGACATTGATAGTGGTTGCGGCGGCAATGATGGAATTCGGGCAATTGGGCGTCCGTGTCAAGGTAGTCTGCGTGACTTATTAGCACTACTTACTTAGTAAAGCAGACAGACAGAGAGAGACTAGGCCAATGTCAGCACGTCTGTACCTTGGTGAGTTAGCAGATCTGGTGCACAGTGCACACTTTCAAGGGCGACCTTCTTCTTTTTCTTTTCGATCTTTAAACGTGGGATCGCCACGCTGTGTGGCGCACACTGATTAGTTGATTGATGATTAATTGGGGAAAATGTGATGCTTCCGACAAAGTCGAATTCACTGTAAAAGTGTCCGATTTTCTCAATGTGTTTGGCATCAGAATGTGTGCTGAATTAAAGTAACATTTGTAGTAAAATATTGCCAGATATTCAAATTGAAATGTGCGTGTGTTTGAAAAGACGGGGAGAAAGGGTTCTCCTTTTAAAGGAAAAACTTTGCAAACTTTTTTCCAACTCCCCAGGAATGTGAGTTTGTGTTGGCAGTGTGCGTGAATGAGTGAGTGTGTGTGGGTGATGACTGGTCTAGACCGTGGTCGTCGTCTTCCTCTTCGTTGTCCACACTGTCCGGTGGTCACCGACGACTGAAATGGCTACTGATGATGTCACAAACATATTCAGACAAACATAGTGCACCAATCAGTGTGTGTCAGGCAGTACATGATCCAAAGAGAAGCGAGAGAGAGTGAGAGAGCGTCAATTAGTCCGACGACAACAGCAACACAGTGCATATTGATCACCGAATTCCGCTTCTTTTTTTCTTCCTTTTTTCTCTTTGATTCCTGGTTGACTATATGGCGCCAAATATGATTACTAATTGCGATCGCCCCTAGACAGAATGCGGGATGGTGAAAAGCAAGTTTTTTCCTACTCTATTGACCCAACTGGTTCTTCACTTGTTTGAAGTCTTTGTGCATTTCATTTCACTTTTAACTCCCAAAGCTGCTGCCCTAAAAAGAAGATCCGCTGGTTTTTAAAACTGTTGACGTCTTTTTCTTTAATTTTCAAATGTTATGAAGAATCTTTGAAAACTGGTCAACTGGCCAACTCCAGTTGTTTACCTTTTAGGGTCGGCCCTTTTAATTGACAAGTTTTGAAAAACTTGAAAAGTGCTTTCAACTTTAAAAAATTTTAGTTTTAGATGATCAAAACAACTTTAGTGGACTGTAGAGTACCGAACCAAGACGCCAATGAGAGTGAGCCAATCGGCAACTGCTTGCTTGGTTAGGCGGACTACTTTTTGCTGCCTCTTTTGGATCGCATTCTCGCACTCATTCTGGCTGGCTGACTGGCTGGCACACTATTCCCCGTGGAGTCTCTCAGCGGAGACGGGTCACTCTTCACTGGATCTGCTCTACCATCATCACCACCATCACCACCACCAGCATCTAATGCTCAAAATGCAAATCTACGTCCATTTACGGCGAGCTGCAAAAAAGAGCAAGCACCGAGCACACTAACGAAGCTGTGCTTTCCTTTTAATTTAGATTTGCCGACAAGTGTGTGTGCTCGTCTTAACTAATAGATTCACTGAAGATTTCCTTTTTGATTTTCTTCTTCGTCCAAACTTTGGCTCCCTGTGGTCTTCTGAACGGAGACTTCGTATTGCGTGGCCGGAAAGACGGCGACGACGGCTAACTTGGTCTGCTACTGCTACTATTCTTGATTCGTTTACCTTGAATTACTGTGCCACTCATTGGCAAAGCAGGCCAGACCCCAAGAAGAAGATTGGCATTTGCTTCACATGAGCACGCACTTTGGGCGCATTAGCGAGGATATGAGGCTCCGCTGTGTGGCCGGATTCGCCCTTCACCAGACCTATCTGGTGGTGGTGATGCCGTCAACATCACGTTCACCACATCATCTTCATATTCATTCCCAGTAATCGACAGATACTTATGGCTAGGCTAATTGGGTAGCAGCAGGTAGCAGCAGAAAGACGTCTTTGTCATAATAAAGTAATATATTGAGGAAAAATAGTACGACTTTGTTGTTTATTAGGAACATTCGCATGTTGAATCAAGGACA